CGCTCGCCGCGCATGTCAGATGTCCGGGGTTCAAATCCCGGCACGGTCATTGGATATACACTGCTGATCATCTCTAAAAGAGGGAAACTCCAGTCCAGTGCTTCCCTTTGGTGTGGACTCACCGGAATAATTACGCCAGAACAGTAACACGGTTGTTCAAACGAGAGTGGTGTGGCTATGAACGAATCCTCAGTAGTAACGACGAGTAAATCCTCGGAAAGTCAACACAAGCTTGGAACTCATTAAACCATCTTTGGGGTCTTTTTGATTCATCTGAAGATAACAATATCGAAAGTAAATTCAAAGAAGCTTGAAGAGTCATCAGGCGCACTTGGTCTTTGTAACTCGGATACTTTTGCACACCTTTGGGCTACTTGACAATTGTAATCCAATTCGATGAATCCGTACTGTCGAGTTCAAATGTGAGGAACGCTCAAAATTGGGCAGTGACATGTGGTGTACATCTCCTTGGACTACCATCAGGTGAAAAGACGGTCTGCACCGCAAAAAAACCATCTGCCAAATTGTTCTTTCAAATGACTTAATGAAATTATATAGTGAATTTAGTCGACTGGCTCTCCTCTTACGTTGGTTAATCTACACAAGCGGTTAGCCCTCGTCTCTCACAAACGAAGATTTGGTTGGTAAATTGATGAGACTTTACCAGGTTTTTCAACTTTCTCATAATAACGATTCCTCATGATTTGTAACACAACCACAGCATATAAAACGACGAACGTTAGCTGGCTTGTTTCCCCAAAAGTCCTAGAGATTTTCTGTCAAAAACCATACGAACTACGAAGAGTTCAAAGTTCCTCAGCTGGCACATAGCCCCGAATCATGTGTACAATGTGAGGTTTGCACCGGGACACTTTTTTAAACTAATTGGTACACAATTGAATGGAGTACACGTTGGTACATTTGGTGACCTTAGGGAATGTGCAATCGGGTGTCGAGAATCTGGCCACACCAGTCGTTGCGTCCGACAATTTTTGCTGTCTTGGAGATCACGTTCACCTTATCCATGAATAACCGGATCAACCAAATGATTCGAGAGGTGAAAGTATTTCGTTTCCTATGGATGGACATCTTTCGAGTTCCGTATAAGAGGAGTTACCAGGCATATTGAAGAGAAATCAAATGCAAGAATGTACTTATCCAGCTGACCTTGAGTCACAAAATGGAACCAAATGAGATAAACTTACACATAGAATGCACTTATCCAGCCGACCTTGAGTCACAAAGATGGAACCAAATGAGATAAACTTACACATAGGCTCGATAACTGCGGATACGGTTGGTAAAACAGCCGACCGGAATTCATCGGTGTTGTCAATTTTGCATTCCAGATGTTTCTGCTGATGTCGACGTTGAACAAGCAGCTGCAGTACACTCAGCGTTGCCCGTCTGTGGATGAAAAGAATTGATGAATTTTCTGATCACAGAAAATGTCACGTGTCAACTTCGGATGACTCATCGGGTAGGACAGAAGGCAGCACATTTCGCGGTAAATATACTTTTTTCCCGAACAACTGAGTTCAATTCAATTGGATGATCAAACAGGTCTGTGCCTGACTAAGTCAGTTTTTACTTTGAAACTGAGTATCAGTGTGTGTACCCAAATGCGAGAGCGGATATGCTTATCGGTGTTCCCATAATAAACACAACTGAATAGGGCACCAGATAAGACTAATTTCCTCATGAACGGTCTTGGTGACAACTTAGTCGTCAATAAATAGGCCAGTGATAAACAAATATGGACAACTTTGAAAGTAACGCAGAATTGAGTCACGCAAATGTTAGATGGAGTGTGACGCAAGCCTAACCTAACATTCTGGTAACAGTATTCTCAGCGTCATCTCCAGGACAACCATCATCATCATCGTCATCATCATCATCATCATCATCATCATCATCATCATCATCATCATCATCATCATCATCATCATCCGAATCATCATCATCATCGTCATCATCAACATACAGAAGGTAAATACTGGCCTTCGTTTTCAGTAAATCCACCAGGAGTGGGTCTAGGTCAAAAGCACCAAGGTAACAGAAGAACAAGGAGCTAGTACCAGAAACTCACGGTCTCTAATGAGACCGTGCCAAGTCTGCTGTTCGGTCTGCTGTTACGTAATGAGGCTCCTAATGAGGCTCCAGCCCACCTTGGAACTCGGGCTGATATTGTCCAAATTGTTCCCGTGTTGCCTTGTTGATTTCGCATTCAAGATACTGCCTTTCAGATGCACCAGCCTGCTCCCCCCATTAAAGTGTCCAGGGCCGAGCAAGCCTTGCACCGGACGTCCTGGTGTAACGGTGATACTACTGATCGGGAGGCACGCGAGTAGTATGTGTTGTTTGTAGAATTTCGCTTTGCGTCGATGGAGAAAGAGAATTCTGTTGCGGAATTCGTGGGGCCACTTTGTAACATTTGCTTGGATTTGAGCGACGAATGATTGGAGGCAACTAATCTTTAAGAAAACTCGTTCGGGAGAGCATCTGTGTCCAGTTTTTGGAACTAAGATGCAGATTAGAGTTTCGCTTCCTTGTTTAATGGTTTGTAACCGATCAGTTAGCATTTCCGAATAAATGACTCCCCATCGAAGGCCTTCTTCCTTTCACTGGTATTTCTGATCAAAAGAACTGACGGCCCTCCGAAAAAAAAAACACCAAGAGTTTTCAGATAGTGAAACCAGCGGCTAATGGGCATTTTATTGATTCGTTTGTGATGATTATTCGAATCGATTAATTCACATAACAAACTGTTGACCAATTATGGAAGTTGGCATGCGATTTCTGTGGATAGACTCAAAAGTAAGTAACACTTGTCGCTTTATTCTCACAAAGTAGCGGTTGCGCCGAAATCAAGTATATGCGATAGAATCACTCTCACCTAATCAAACTTAGATATCTATCAGTTCAGTTAACCCAGTTTTAACACAGGTATCAACCGGATAGAGTGAAACAGCAAACTCACGTGTGCAACTCCCCGTCAGGTGAAACATTTCTTGCTAAAGAATGCTGGGGCAGCGGGTGGTGCACGAATGGCGCAGTATAGTTGACTGGTTCGAAAAAATGCTGTTCGACGATTTCGAACTTCTCATCGACTTCCACTTGGCTAAGTCTACCACTTGATTGACTGTCCAATGCATCATGCATCGGTGCCCTTACGCTGCCCAATCCAATAGCCCTTTCACCTTTCGTCGGGTCTAGTGGTACACCGGAAAGGAACCAGCGAATGGTCGGAGCTGGTTTAGCCGCGGATGAACGACATTCCACAACCAATCGTTCTTGCTCTCGTATCCACAACACCGGAGGTGGTTTTGAAATACGTATTTGCTCTCCGGATGTGTCGGTTAGGTTGAGTTTTCGTGTATTATCAAACAGTACTGGTTTGTAGACGTGGGAACCGGAACCGATCGCCGGGTCGTCTGCAACGATACGACTATTTTCAAACTGTTTTGAACGAGGAATCAAATGCATGGTCCCCGTGTCCAGTAGCTTTTGGTTCGCTTGAAAGGGGCTTTGTACAAAAGATTCGCTAATGATATGTGGTCGGTCAAGTTTTGAACCGGGAAGCTGAGCGCTGAGCTCTTGATATCGAGTTGGTTGGTCACGTCTTGCTAGCGTGAGACTGGTTGGTGGAACTGGAAGAAAACAGAGTTAGGTAGACACCTTTTAAGAGTTGTTAAATTAGCCTATATCAATAGGTTGATCAGTCTATAGCGGGATCAGAAGACCAAATATTATGACTAACGTTCGAATTACACAGGCAAATGGATATCTTTGTTTGACATCCAACGGTGTGGTTCTCTTTTTTTACTGAAGTGTCAACACACGTTGGTTGGCCGATAAAACTTCTACTGTCACTCACTTGTAGTAACATATATGTGGCTGTGCCGTGAGGCAGAATTCCTATAGCAAAGGGGGTGTGACTGGACTTGAAACAATAGTGTAAAGGGAACGCACAAACACGCTTGGCTTTAGACACAACTAGCTCATCTGCAGCGACATCTAAATGGCTCCACTGAGATAATTCTGTCTGAAGCGTCAGAGCTGGCCAAGCGACGTCCAACGTGATGGACCAGACCATTCGCTCACACGAAAAACCGCTCACTGGTGTCATACGGAGGGTGACTTCTGATAAGGGATGACCCGGTCCCAAGGGTGTTTCAGACCGCTCCAAGTTTGACAGATGATCGCGGTCTTTTTTACCATATGATACCTAAGAAATTGGTTGAGCTGCTAAATTCAGTCTCTGGTTAAATCCACCGCCCAACACAGTACTCTCAGCTTATTCATTGCCGTAAGGTGCACTTAAAAAGCTCTGAGGTTCAGGTGTACAACGCATCTTCCTGTGTGCAAGCATGCGGAATTTGAGGATTGAAGAATTTATCCTTACGATGTAGACAGGACCATATAACGTCGCCTTTACTATACCAAGATATTGCACACGTGATTGATCAGCTGAAAGCTCAAATTCCGGGAACAAATGACATCGCAGCTGGATTCGTGACAGCGTGTAATCCGGCACACCTAAAGCTAAAAAGTTTCATTGAAGACGCTCCTAGATTCATTTACCTCGGCCCCCTAAACATAGCAGACTAATATGTAACAATAATCACATAACAAGTCCATCGGATATGTCAGCTAAGACTATCGTAATTTTTCAAACCAATTAGATTTTACCCAACAGATAAGCTTTAGGACCAGTCTCTGGCCTGAGAGAGGATTTAGAGACCGGATTGTCACTCGTCACCGGTTGCTTGAACACTGATCAAAAGTTTCCGCAACTCACTGTCGGGTGCTTCATCAATTGTTGGATCCTGTCGCGCTGTTTAATGTCATACAGTTTGACAGAGCGCCGCTAGGGTGGATACTCACAGTAGTCATTTATAAAAAACTTGAAAAATTGCTCGGCCTGGTAGACCACCAGGCCATTTTAATCACATTTGAGATCATTAATATAAAAACAACCACGCTTTACTCAGCCCTATCACTAAGGTGCAATAATATCTATCTATCTATCTATCTATCTATCTATCTATCTATCTATCTATCTATCTATCTATCTATCTATCTATCTATCTATCTATCTATCTATCTATCTATCTATCTATCTATCTATCTATCTATCTATCTATCTATCTATCTATCTATCTATCTATCTATCTATCTATCTATCTATCTATCTATCTATCTATCTATCTATCTATCTATCTATCTATCTATCTATCTATCTATCTATCTATCTATCTATCTATCTATCTATCTATCTATCTATCTATCTATCTATCTATCTATCTATCTATCTATCTATCTATCTCTCCATCTGTTTATGTATCTGAAAATTGATGCACTATTATCATCCCGATGGTATGTTAAGCTGACAGGGCTAACGGCGAGGCAGTTCAGTGAGACTGGTTTGACATCGCACATATCCTGCGGCGTGTACAAAATGGCTGATTTAGGTACGTGGGCTGGGACTGCCACTGCAACAATAAACTAAACACGTGACTCAGTGCGGTGGACCTAAACATTGATTATTCTCCGTTTGAAAGCGGATCAGAGCAATTTTGAGGGCCCCCATATTACCTGATGTGGTGTTTTTGAAGGCAGTCACATTCACAATTTTCTGTGAACAACACGTCCATCGGACAAGATGAAAGTAAAATTCTAGTGGTTCCTTGATATAGGGCTGAATTTATGCGCCGGGTTTTACAACTTCTCGCGGCTTTAGTTTGAAGATACGAGAAGTTTGACACTCCCAGCTAACAACATAAAACTATGAGGGTGGACTGTTTAGCGAGTGGGCTGATTCGTTCGATGGTTCGCAGTGAGCAGATGCTGACCGGGGGAAATAATAACCCTCTCCAGGATTTTTCGAAAGTCCTTGGAATTTATAGAGAACTGTCCATTTCGGGGCGTTACTAGGGGCATATTGATGATATTTTGCAGTCATAAATTGAGTCGTAAGGGGCCTTCATCTAAATCTTATGACTGACTTGGGATGATGATTTAACCTTGAACGAACTGAATCATAAGCATAACTTCATTTTCTGGACTTATTTATCCTTTTAAGATGAACTTCAGTTGCACGCAGTACTTCTACAACCGTTGGAGTTTCACCATGGCCTTATGAAGCACGCCGTCGAAAGGAGTTGCTTCCATTGGAATAAACCAGTCACGTTGCTGTCGTAATCATTTTTTTCATGACTACTTAATTAGTAGTGAAACAATGCAGTGTGGGGACAACTTCAGACAGGCAGATGACATCCTTATGCATATTTGATAAAACTGTCGAACAGGCAGAGGAACGCAATTTCCCAAATTGCTTTACGACAAAGCAATTTTTGTTTTTTGGGAGACGTCGGTCAATTGTGACAGCTGCTTTCTGTAAATCATTGCGTATCCGAAAGGCCAATGTACCCACTGACTTGTACAGGATAAGTTCGTTTATTTTACTGAAGACAACCTGCAATCACACAAGGTCGTTTTGTGGAACGGAGCTGATTAGTGATTATCGCGTCGCTGATATACACAACACTATCAGTAATACCGCACGTGATTCGATGGCAAGTCAGGATGGCTGACATGCGCTGAGTGATCAAACGTTCTCAAAATCATTACGTGTGCAGGATGATCCCATCGGTAGCAAAAATAAGGACGGAACCCTCAAGCAACTAGCTATTCCTGTCAGAAGTTCTGTTTAAGATTTCGAGTGCAGCGCCTGTCATTTTCCAATGGTTCCCATCCTCCTGACAACGTTGGAGTACGGTTACTTGCCGAAAGGAACATAAAAAATTTGCCTTGCCCCGACCCGAACAACTAAGACTTTGCGGTTGTGATTCACGGGGATTGAGTCAGTGAGCTCTGAAAAAGTTACTACCTGACAGGAAACCATGCTGTGGCTGTTTTTAGTCCGTAGTTTGGACGCTCCCACTCCACACGTACGCTTCCAATGACATAAAAGGATATCTACACAGAGTTGGGTTGATTGGCTGAAAAAAGGAAATGGTGTTGCTTGTTTCTGGCAGACTACGTTTGACGTCCCCATCGATTTTTGAATTACAGTCTGTGAAGAATGATTCTGCTAAAACGTGCTTCTGCTCTTCCCCAGAATCTATGATTGATCTTGTGTGTAAGCGACCATTGACTAGCCAAGTATTCTTACTTACACGACGTTTGGCTCCAATAGGATCCTCAACTTAGCCACTCCAAATTTCCCGTTTATGGTGGTCTCCCTCAGTTGAATCTTGATTAAAGAAGGTCTTATAGATCAGCACTAATATTTCCCCGGAAGTTCGTACTTACTTTACTAAATGACTTGGGGAAATAGAGGAAGAAACAACGTTCGTATCCGAAACCTTATGGGGGTCGAGAACTACCACCAAGGTGGCTCAGTGGTGAACTTACTGACCGAAAGCTCCTTGGTTCGAGCCTAGCCCAGGCATCTCAACCACTCCTAACTCAGTTTAAGCAACCGGTAGTATCGCAGCCCTCGTGCGTCCTCCAGGTGGTATGGTATCTAGGCACGCAAGAACCATGACAAAGACATGAACTACTAATTCCGTGCAATTTGGTTTCAAGTAGAACATAAAGTTGACGGCAAACCCGGGGACTATGCCTACCTGATGAGCCGCAAAAAGGGCGAAACCGGTCCTGGGCTGTCGACGGATTTTCAACAACCTTATGAGTAGTACATTACAAATATATACATGTATCACAATATCTCGAATATCGTAATGACTGAAACGTGAGGTGGCATGGTGCAGCACATTCCGTTGCTTTAGAACATCACAAACGAGAGATTCAGCTAGGTTCCAGGTGAGTCTCACGAAAAACCAAATTAGTTTGCAAATGAAGGGACTGCGCCTACCTGATGAGCCGCAAAAAGGGCGAAACCGGTCCTGGGCTGTCGACGGATTTTCAACAACCTTATGAGTAGTACATTACAAAGATAGACACGAAATACAGTTTTGCTGCTATTCCAAGTGTCCTCTACATAGCATGAATGGGTTGGATTTGTAGGTTATATTATTTGTGAAGACCATTTTTTTCACCATTTTTTCACGATTACGCGACGACGAGTTCAGGCATAAAAACGCACCGAACTTACAAAAAATTGTGTATAGAATTATTGCTAGCCTGGGAATCGCGGTGCTGGATAGTATTGCGAAATCGACCAACAACAGTGAACAACTTACTGATGATTTTCAGGTATGCGGGTTTGCTTGCCAGGGTTTCGATCAAAGGTGGCGGGGAGGCTTTGTACAATTTTACGTCCGCTTGACATATAAAACTCGCTTCATCTTCCAGCGAGACCTCATGAATTAGCAGGTCGTAGATGCCTGAATTTGGGGTAGACAACGAAAATGGGTTGGAATCATATAAGCGACCAGACGAACTGGCTTCGGTGGGGTTACATGGTTGGATGTACGGATGTAAAAGGGAACAGTGGGCAGATGTACCAACCTACCTGGCCCTGAAAATTCATCTTACGAGCCGAAGAACTGTGTTGAACATGCACTAGGATGAACGTGATTTCCGGATTCCTCGGTGACTGTATTGAAAACCAAGCATTATGCAATCGTGCACGTCGAAATTGCTTGACATGTCCTCAGTATGTGTTGGTGATGCACCTCTTTGTGTCGATCCCAGTGCTTGGAATATGCTAAAGTTATTCATCAAACGAATCCCTCAGAAAGTTGAACAGCATGTGATGTAACGAATCATTTACATCGTGGAAGTATCAACCCTTTTAGTCTCGAATGAATGGTTACTTGATGTTGAACGAAGAAACTGTGGCCGTTCTATCCACTCAGCCCCACTGAGTGATTGCCCGTAAGAGCTGGGTTATTCCAGGTTTACCGTGTGTATATCCCACGGAAGTTTTAATCCAGAGTTTGTTTCTCAACATAGAATTAAGATAGTTTTATACTTACTCTGTCCAGTGGCTGCATAAGGGACGCGAAACGCACCACTATGCGCGGGGGGTTTGCTTATCTGTTTCGCTCTGTGTGATTGTTCTTGGTTCTTGGTTGCTTTATGTGCCAAAGAATGAACGAGTACAATACTGCTAATCGAATTTTCCTCTAGGTCGGTGTTCCAAGGACCCAGTTATTAGCATTTCGATCATCACACATGCATGAGCGACACATGCTTTGAGCAGATGTAGGGCGCTGCAAACTGGAATGCGTAGCGGAGAATGGGACAAAAGATCCACGGCCAAACATGAATATATCCGCGCTTCTGTATTAAGAAGCATGCTCAGAATAATGGTCATGATGCAACCGTGATACTACTGATCGGGGGCATTCGAGTAGTATGTTTTCTCGTTAATCCGCTTTGCGCCTCCTGAAAAGTGAGACCTATTACGGAATTTGTGAAGTCGCTCTGTAGCGTTTGCTTGCAATTGAGTAACAGTCAAGGAATATCCAGGAAGGTGCAAGAAGACGCTTTCAAGTAGAAAAAGAATATTCAGTTTTGTAAACAAGATGCATATGAGAGTTTTGCTCCCCTGTCCAATAGACTATAACGATTCTGTTGGGATTTTCTAATAAGTAACTCCACATCGAAGGCCTTCTTTCTCTCAGTGGTATAAATATACTGTTACGGAAGCTACAATCTTAGTGTTTAGAGCTCGCATTTTGCTGGTTTGTAATCGAAAGTCTATCCAGGAATCAACTACTCTTCTGTTAGTCACAGTCATGTTCCTTTCTATACAGTGGAACAAACTATCAAGTTTTCATTGGAACACAGTAATTGTCCACAAAGTAAGTATTTGTTTGAATCCGACGGTTTGGTAGATTCTCACGCGCTTTAAAAACAGGTTCTCCATGCCACTTTTGGCTAGCCACCATGTGACTTCGATCAACCGGCAAAATGATTAATAACCAGAATAGCGAAATCTGGCTCGCTGATGACCAAATCCACCGGCAAATAAAGGACAGTTTGTAGAATATCATAAACGAGGGATTCAGCCGAGTCTCTCGTGAAAACCAAATTGATTTGCAAACGAGTGTATTTCCCGAAAACAGTCCAATGCGTGTTCAAGGAGAATATAAGGTTGATGGAAACTCGGGGACTGCGCCTACCTATTGAGCCCGAAGTGGTAGGGCAAAACCGTTTTTGGCCTGTCGAAGAGTTTTCAGCAACCTTGGGAGTAGTTTGCTTTATGAAAAGATACTTTTAGTTTTGATCTGAGACCTTTCGAAATTGGTATATACCGAAATGTGTGACTGGTAAACGAAAAATGCTAGTGGAGCAGGACCTTGCTTATCAAACGTTTGTACGGATATGTGGTAACCGATCCTCTACGTTTGTCCAAGTCTGTTCCTGATCTTCAAATCCCACTACCATGGGTAAGATGATGAGTTCTTATCTGTTTCCAGATGACATTTTCACATAAAGGTCCCATCAGCAGTGCGGTGGTTGGACTTTATCCCCGTCAATGAGATCAGACTACTTGAGAAAGCTGAACAACAGCAGTTGTTCACCTTTGCGCAACTCGGGAGGTTCAGTTGATATTCAGCTGAGTCTTTTGTTAAACCTGAAGTACTAGACAAATCAGTCCATCTGTCGAACTCCGTACAACTTATGTTCAAACAAGACACAAAAGTGAAAGAGCATCGGACGCACTTTACAAACCTGATGCCCCGAAGAAGGGTGAACCCACTGCAGCCTGCCGAAATTTTCACCAACCTTGTGAGTAGTTTCCTCCAGTAGTATACACTCCAGCTAAGAGAAAGAACAAAGGTATTCCCCTGTGTATATGCAAAAGATTTTGAAGCATAGAAAAGCCCTTTGTCAGGAGTAGGCGTTGGGCAAATTTTGGGGCGTGAAGTAAATTGATCACCCTAGTAGGATTGCGTTTATCAGCATATCGTTTCATTGTTTTATCTATGTGTTTAGACCTGACGTTCCAAACCAATGAAATTATTTTATGTTAATGATATTTTGCAGTTTTTTTCAACTGACGAGTGTTTTGGCGTTGCGTGTGTAGAATAGAAACGTTGGCTTTTCAGTTCTTGGCACTGATATTTTGAACGTATCATGGACCATTGGACTTTTACTTAGACGCTTGTTCGCCTACTAGCCTTCCTGACAATTTATCTGTTACTACGAGAAGAGAGGGGAATTCAGGATAGAGTTTGGGCGAGGTAAACACTGTGTTCAATATCATACAATTGGAGATGAGTTGAAAACGACAGTGTGCTTGTTTTGTCTTTGGAGATCCTCACTGTTTACACGATCACCATCGCAATCTCCCGGGGATTTGAAATTTCTTAGACAGTCTAGTAACCAGGATAGCGGTGTTTGGCTCGCGGATGACCAAGTCCACCGACAAATCAAACATACTTTTGGTTTTGAACCAAAACTCTTTGAGACCGCTATATTCCCAAATATGTGACTGATAAATGCAAAATGCTAGTAGAGTGGTTGGATCAACAAGCTAATGCCTAAGTGTTCATAGCTGGATCAGGTCACACAGCAAAATGTCTGATGCCGCAAGGTCGTTCCCTATCGATCAGCTTTAAGACTAGACTAGCCCTGTGAACAACGCTCAACAGTAGATCGAAGACCAAGCGCTAAATTAGCAATGAAACGGGCAGATGAGCTCTGCTCTGGGCTTGAGCAAGGCAGGGTCTCGGCGCACAACGAAGCCGAAATCGAAGGATCTACACGCAATCAGGAGACGAAAACAACCTTTAACAACAAGTGTTTTGATGGCTGAATCCTGTTGGCCGAAAGGTAGCGCAAGCGAATTCTAATACAGGCAACTCCAGAAAGACGGTGATGTCTTTTGGAGCCCAGAGAGTTCCCAAGTGCACATGTCAAGTGCCAGATATCGGATTAAAACACAAGACGAGTGCAGCTGGGGGTGTTTCAGTATTGCTCTGAAGGAAATTTGCTAGCTTATGTGGTAACTTTCTCAAAGGCTGGAAACGAACAAAGTCAATATATTGGTGAATTGACATTCTCTGTTAGTATACTATCAGCACAGTTCATGGGGAGGCAACCGAGAATTCAACTGTTTACCTTGTGTACGGATTTATTGTGGGACGTTATCAGGTTGGAATGCTCAATTAAGAACTATAAGTTTATAAGAGAATCAGGAAGGAACAAAAATACCATTGAATACCACTGACTGTCCCTCAAAATCAAAAACCGCAGGTGTGCATTGCCCTGGTTTAATTTTGATCAGGAACATTGATCCTACAGCCCAGTCGAGCACATGCTTGCGATTTAACCTCCGTGAACTGCTCTTACAATTGTCTGATATTATTTTCAAAAATTCTGCAAATGTGCAATCAACAGCACCCAAAAGCTGATTAAATATATGCCCCGGATACGCATTTTGATCAGCTTACTGGATATCTCTGCAATTTTTTAGCACATTTTCTTCAGTCATCCGTTGATTTGGCTCCAACAGCGATCTGCACTTCACGGAGACGTGATTTTGTCCAGCTTAGAACCAAAAGGTTGCCGCGCCGGCACAAAAAATCTATCCATCTTAATGTGAACAGACCAGTATTACTTATAAACAACGAGAAACCGTGCAGTACGGGTTCAAAAAGACATTTTTCTCCAAGCTTTCTTGGAAGTAAATATCAGTGGTCCAGATTATGCAAATGCCTTCATTGAGCGAGACAACTGAGAGTGTTTTACCATTGGTTGTCAAAATGTGTTATTCGAGTTGAGTACTTCTAAGAGCCACACAAGAGGACTGCGTTTGAGAAATAATTCATAATATCCATGACGTCGAAAACCTGAAATAAGCGTCAGTCAAAAGGCATCAACGATTTATGGCACACTACCGTGGGCGAGTAACACTTTCCAAGGTGATACGTAGGTGAAACGAACTGAAATTGCTTAGCGTGCAAGCTGAACACTATTTTTTCAGTGAATTAACAAAACGACAGAAATGAGAAAACCAATACTGGACTCGGAATGCGAGCACTACGTGTACTTGTCCAAAGTGAGTTTTTAATACACATACAAATTAATAGTGCGAGAAGTGTATCAGTGCTGAAGCCGTGTCGGTTTATTTTGAAATATTCCAGGCTGTGAGAACCTGGTTTCCTGTTTAGTTGTCAACGTGCACAAAATGTCAGTAATTTTTACAAGTACGCTTCACGTTTGTTAGTTCCACCAACTGGAACAAAACAATAGGTACTATTATCGCGTGACTTAAAAACAGATATTTTCAAGTTCCCACCCAATTCGTGATCATGAGATAAGTGTACTTCAGAGAAGCTCCAGCAACACAATTCTAGAAGGTTCTATTATAAATAATACAAATCGATAACCAATGGCGGTTGTTGGACGTTGCTCAGTAAACTGCCAG